AGTGGTCAAACTCGAAAATCGGAGAACTTTTATTTTTTGGCCAAAAAAAATGGAAAGGGGTACCACTTGCCATTTTTTTGGGTCGAAAAATCAAAGTTGTCCGATTTTGATGATCGAGGACTCATTCTCTTCGTCTTGATGCGTCGAAATGCGGAATCAAGTCAAACATTATAAAAATTAATTATTTCACTCCTAAAATGGGGCAAAACCGGAACTTGCTCTAATTTTTGCATGAATTTCGCGACAATTATGATTTTTACCATATCGACTTTGTTCCTTCCGTCGAGATCTTTCATTTAAGCCCTCGATCTACCCTGTAACATAATAAGCATAAAAGTTATGCCCATTTTCATATCTTACACTTTTCCGCCAATACATCATGATATTTCATTATTAAAATTTTTTTCTTACAGGTTGACAGTTTACATTCTATTATGGTCTTTCAGTTAACCCCACCTTTCTCCATTTAAAAAATTTATGAAATTTAACATTCCTTCTATATAAAAAATTGTATTTATTCTTGGACTTGTATTTCCGAAAGATAAATTTTTCATTATTTCAGAGTCAGTGTAGTCCGTAAGCTTCTTTCAGTAAGAAAAAAATATATCTATATTCTATTTACAAAGGTTTGATTATAGCTTCAGTTCAATTTAAGATGTTCCTTTAAATATTAATTATTGCAATGTTATTTTAACAACTAAAAATACTTAGAAAGAACTCACGAGTTTTCTTTATAAATTGAAGTTCCACTTCTAGATAATTACCTCAGTTTATGTTCTATTAAAAAAAATTTTCTCAGTGTACAATTTCTTGAAGTAGTTATTATTGTGGTTTACTAATTTTCTATATAATAGATGGGAAAAAATTGTGCACTGAGTATAATAAAATTTTATATGATACATTGAATACATTATACTCCATTCTTTTGAATCATTTCTCATATTATCAAATTATCTCCTAATTACCATACTAAATCATTAAATATAAATTTTATATTTTTTCTTTTTATATCATCAACCATTCCCTTCTCTAAAAATAAGTAAAATACATAAAAATAAATATTGCAAATTTTATTTTTCTTCATTTTATTACTTACAACAGTAAACCTGAAATGTATCGTTGGCTATTTGTCGTAGGATTCTCCAAGGATAAATATAAATTTGATTCTGCATTTAGATAGTCAAAGTACTTGGTTGGTATTTTTAAATCGTATCATGACGTTATTCTTACATCATTTTTGGAATTTTTATCTCCAAGGAATAGAAATAGCAAATTAAAAGGTTAATAAACGATTATTTATTGGTATATCAAATAAGCAGAAATATAAATTCTGAATTCTCAACTGTGTATTGAATTTAATATTCCAGATTGTAGGAAATAGATGACAAATCACAATCAAATCTTCGAATTACTAGGTACTTTAATGAATAAACGAAAATAGGTCAAGAGCTTTCAGAGCTTCATCATTACTGTTTCCTCCAATCAACTTTAGTATGCTTCTGATGAGAAATCAATAAAGAAAATAATCAAATCAATAATACTCGTGATAGGATTCAGAATAGTAAAGGGTGAATAATAAAAGAAATGTATTCAAAGTTGAGTTGCGTATAGAAGAATTGCGTGTTTCAATGCCATTTCCAGGGTGTTCTTCCGGTCAGACGCATATAGACGTCAGACGGCGCCAGGCAGACGTCACGAGCGTCGCGACGATTTCAAAGAAACACCGCTAATGTCTATATAAGAATAAAATGAAATAATGGTTATATTTTTTTTGGCTTTATTTTATGAGTTTATTTTTTCAAATTAAATCTTCATGAGTATGTATTTAGAGTCTTTATTGTTTTTACAATTCTCAACTTTACTCGTTATATATCCTTTGCGTGTATATATGGTGAAAGATTACCGAACATAGACTGAAGAAAACACACGAGGATTAAGTGGGGATCGCATTTGAAAACTCTGGCATTCCCACCTCTCGTTGACTGAAGAGATCTCTCAGTATAACGTTAAAACAAACGTGAAAAGCATCCGGGCATACGTGTGAGTATATGATTTACGCTCAGAAAAGCATTTGGATGTGTTTCCAAGTCCTTTTTCTGCTTCAGCTGAAATGCTTTTACAAAACTGTAAAGAATTTTATTGTTCTTATGTTTTATATATATGTTGGCACATATATATAACTTGATAAATATTTCCATTTTCTTGAAATTAACTTTTTTGTTAGAGATAATAAAAGTATACTGGCTTTATTAATATAGAGTACATTTAAAAAGGAGTATTGGGGTGGAAACTTATTTTACCAAAAACAGTTATGAATTTTTGAGTAAAATTAAAATAGAAATTTTTTATATTTTACTGAATTTTTATTTCCTATCAAACCCTTCACTCATGTTAGTTATAGAGTGATTGACACCCAAAGAGCAATTTTTCAACACATTTTCTCTTTTCTAAATCAATTATTTTGACTTATAAAACACCAATAATTGGGCAATTATTCCAATAATTTACCTGTCCAATTTAGATGACTTTTTTTCTTTATATTAAAATATCTTTTCAGTGTAAAAATAATTAATAGAGATATAAAAATAGTTTCTAGGTGATATCATAGTTTTCCCCCAAAATATTCTTGGCATAAAAAGCAATAAAAGTGTTGAATTTATTCGTATTCATGGTGATGTTCTTGAAGCTTTAGTGTGGTGAGAATATGCCAATAAGAGAATTAATATGCTTACCTTACCATTTACTGCAGAATTTAAAGTTTTCATACAACTCCCATGACACATCTACAAAATATAACACTCGACCTGGGCACCATATAAACTTACCGCATACAAATTTGTCGGAGATGACCTTAAAGCTTCTGATACATGTACAAACAACATGACGTTTTATAGGCTATCTCTCTTTGGATGTGTACACTGCTAACTGCAGCCTGTTCACGTTGTGTCACACTTCACCGCCACCACTACTACTAGTACCAACACGACAGCCTGGTTGGACGCAGTTGTTTGGAAACGATCGACCTCTCAACCTTCACTCTATGCTAAATGGAAATCGTTAATCGCCAGGCTCAATTCGATTATCTGAACCTTCGTTAACTTTGCTTGCAGCCATAGGCAGATGATGCGCTGGCATCAGAGTAATATTATAGTGTTGCTAGGCAAACTGCTCGTGGAATATTACTCACTCTGACGAGAGGATTTCTCTGGGATTATATAACCGGAAAATATAGCCATCATACTACATTACACCATCAAGCTCCCTACTACTTCAACATTTGTTATATATTATTCAAAAGTTGATGATCAAGTAGCAGGGCTGACCACACATCGACTCTCACTCCTCATGTTGGCTTTAACTCAGCATCGAGTTGTACCACTGGCCAGAGAAAAGTTTTATATAAAATCAAATAACTCAATAGAAAGCTGATGTATTACTGGATGACTCGATTTGTTGGATGATTTTATGAGTTTGTAGAAGAACATTAAAGTTTCTACTTTTGGAAAAATAGATAATAGAGAAGGACGTTTTTCTCACATACATACACAAAAGTATATGTGTACATTGAGTCATCAGTTGTGTATGGTATGGAAGTACAAATAGAATTCTAGCGCCTAGAAATAGAGAGAATAGTCCGGAAGAGTACTAGCCAGAGGAACATCCAAAGTGAAAAGTTCGCACGTTAGGCGACATTGCAAATGGACAATAGCACATGTTGCATTCGAGGTGAAAGGGAAGACAAATGGTAGATAGCAGCAATGCTGGAGGCAGTATGAGAATTCGTGCTGATTCGATGAGAAACTTTTAATCGGGCAAGTTGAACATGGTAGAGAAAAGAGGTGCTGGTGCTCATTGTAAAGTGCTTTTTCAATGAGTCTGCTATTTTGGATGGTCAGATGGACGTCGATGTAGCACAAAAGCGGAGCATCAAAGCGCACAGGAAATTATGTTCGCGTTTCATGTACCACAAAAGCTGACCGTGAATATACATAGATTGCATATACATATGTCCGTGTACATACAGAAGCTGCTCGAGGTCTTGTAGTTTAATTACTAAGAGTGAAGCTGGATACGAGAGTGATATTGCGCATAACGTGGTTTGCACTGAGCTTTCTGCTTGACCCTATCGTTTCTCTGTTAAATTAATTATCAGAACATGCGATAAAATCACTTTAAACATTCACCACTTTATCCCAAAGCTAGTTATTTTCCTTGTCAATATCACATTCTTCTTTACATGAAACAGTTTGCAGTTATTTCACTCCAAGATAATTCATTAAATATTGCTGTATATAAATGGACGTTTGAAAATATGAATTTTAATTATATAATACCAAAAAGGATTGAAAGGGAATGTATATATATTCTAGTGGTATAAAGACCAAAACATAAATGGCTTTACCGTCGAAATTGCAACAGGCTTTGTGTGCATCCAACGTCATTATCTATGGACCACTCAAAGCTTTCCTAGGCTCTCTTAGTGTGCTCATAAATTTGGATCAGGGCCCTTCCTGGTCCTCGTATAACGGCCAAGGTGTTATATTAAAGCAAATGATTCTAAAAATATATCTCTTCTTTCTGACGTTTATTACTCTATATCTTTATACGTCAACTATTTCACCATGCATAATATCATTACCTTATTTCAACATGCAAATTAATGATAGATTTTCGTTCGTTTGAAGTTTTCAATAATGCTCTCTTCAAGAGATTTATCAACGTGAATGATGAAATAGTTTTATTCAATACTAGATATCACTAATTGTTAAACAGTCAATTTAATTTGACTATAATTAAATAAAGAGATGTGATCTGAATCAAAATGTTGATTGGAATTCTTCAAATTCTAATTGAATAAATCTTTTTTAATATTACATTATCATCCTTAATTACTTCCATTCTTCTATGAACAAAGTCAATTAACCAATCGGTATAATATTCAAATAAAATTTGTGATGAATTTGCTAAAATATTAACAGAGTTATTATTTATTGTTACAGTTGGGCTTCTTTACGTACTACACAGTTGCTATGGGTGAGGTAAATCCTTCAGGACCGGTTCCAATAGACAGTGTATTTATTTATCGACCAGATAAGCGATTGGAACTTTGGAGGTTTGCTTTCTACATGTTTCTTCATGCAGGGTAAGTTTACCAACATTGAAGAAGTAAACATTATCTTAAAGTTTCCATCGACACTTTCCATTAACTAGGAGCAATAATAAAACGTGTAGCTTGAAGCAAACGTTCTATTTTCTATCGAACGAAATGGTGTTGCTGGTGCTACGACGTTATACAGTATTGCACTCAACACGTTGAAGACGCGATTGGAAAATAAAATGTGAACAAGAACAGTATGAGAAGAAGCCAAATGTATATACGTAAAAGAAAAGACGAGGAAAAAAGCAACGTTGGGTGCATGACGCTTTTTAAATTATTCATGGAGAACTGGAGATAAGGGGCGTCTTCTTCACTACTCTTCACTCGCTCACTATTCCTATCCTTTTCTTGCTTATTGTCTAACGACGTGCGTGTATGTCTCACCACGATAAGCAGCTCGACATTTCCGTACAAACAAGTCGACTTTCCACGCGCTTTCATCTTTTCTTATCTCACACACACCTTGTTATCAGCTCAATGTATTCATCGTTAATATGATAATATTAGAAATGTTATTAATCCATTTGACTAGTAAACTCTATTTTTTATTAAATTGTTTTTTTTTTTCATCTTTCTATAATAACATTCATTGGAAAATAAAAATTGATGAAATAACAACATTTATTAATGAATAAATATTTTCTGTAATTAAATTTATTGTGATTAAATGTACCTCATCAAAAATCATTAAAAAAGGAATATTTGTAATTTATTAATTTTTCAATATTCAATTAAACTGATATTCAGTTACACTGAAACAAATTGAAAAATAATTTATTTGCTATTGATTATTTTTTCAATAATGTTGATCAAATAAACACAATAAAATAATTGATACATTATAAAGATGGTCTAAAATTGTTTTTAGTTCTTTCATTAAAGTTAAATTCTACAATACTTTATGTCATTTCTAACATTGATTATCAATTATTGATCATCAGATATCATAAACATCAATGAAAATTCAATGTATGTGTAAAATTGAAGTGTCTGTGAATCCAACTACTCTGAATAATATTCAGTTTCAATTAATTTCTTCAACTTTTTAAGTTGTTACTAGAGTCATGAATAATTGAAAAATAACTTTGTGTTTAAATGATGTTTTTCATTAGCCTATCATTGATATCTCTCAGTACTCAATTTAAAGAGTATTCCACATATTCATTTTCAAACAACGAAATATTATTGTTCCATCAGGACTTATATACAAAGCAAACATGAGAAATATGTTTGATGTCATTCTGTATGTAGTATTTTAGGTATTTTAATTAAATCGAATAATACGATGAATAAAATTTACTCAGTAAAATTAATTAGAGAAATAATCATTATCATATTAATAAAAAGTTACTTTGATCTTAAATCGAATTTCATGGATTTGATCTAATAATAAATTAAATTACCAGAATCATTCATGTGAGTTAGTAATTTTTAAGTTTCAATGAAGATAATATTATTAGTTAAACAGTTGACCAATAAATTTTGTTAAATAGATGTTTTAAAAATTGTTTTAATTAATCTTCTGACAATTATTTCATCGTTAAAAATAAAGATAAAAATTTAGCATTCATCTATACATGACGTTCTTCACCAACTACTCGATATTCTGATGCCCAACTCGATATTCTCATCATTTGCGTTCACTCGAGCTTCGTCAATGATAAATCGTGAGAGTCTATATCCAGATTGTGGTGTATAGCCGTTTGGAACATTGGAGAACAAGCAAGAAAGAGAAAGAAAAAAGATAGAAAATGAAAAGCAGCCCTTCTCGTATGCTCCATTTGGATGATTGCATCGCTAAAACATTAATTCTTTTTGTTCTTCTTCATCATATTCTCGCAACATCTCTTATTTAGTTTGAAATACTTTACATTCGCCTGTTCGTTTAGTGTTTATTCCAACATTGCAGTAAAATGATTATGCAAAACTCTCAAACATGTCCTTAAACACAGAATTTCATACTGCTTTTGGTGCTTTTACTTACTCACTTCATTATATTTTCTATCTCCATGGATCTACAAAAAGCGTGTATGCCTCTCGTTATCCTGGCAAACTTCTTGGAGCTTTAGAGGATGTCATTCTTGTGAATCCACCTGAACGCAACATGATAAGACTTTTGGACGTTCCTTAAAACTTAGTATTCTCTTTATACATTGAATACGAATGCACCCTCTAATTGATACTTAAGATATTTCATGCGAGTAATTTTCTCTTAAGCTATGCATGCCTTTACTCTCTCTCTAGGTTTGTCATTATACATTGCAATTGTTATTTTGTCTAACAATGCCATAAAATATATAGCATAAGAAACTAAGTAATTTCAAATATTTCTGCATAGCACATTTATCTAAAATTATGTTATTAAAAGTTTCTCATAATTTTCTTTTTTTCTTTTAGATGGCTACACCTGCTATTTAACCTAGGGGTACAGGTGGTCGTGGGACTTCCCCTTGAAATGGTTCATGGGAGTTTGAGGATCGCAGCAGTTTACATGGCTGGCGTTCTAGCTGGTAAGTTTTAGCATATGTTTTTGTGATGTGTCATCAAATAATCATATGCACATGATGCTTTGAATACTTGATACCCTAATCTTGTGATCAATGAGACATAAGGATTCTCGATTAAGCCATTGGCTGGATTACAAATTATTGACTTTGACAAAAACACTACTCTACTTTTTTTTCGTTACAGTTGATTCATTGATGATCTATTTATTGATGGTTTATTGGTGGATATTATATCGAAAATTATTTACCAACATTTCCAATGGTTTCACGGTATTTCAATCTATCAATTCTGCTTACATTGTTGAATAAAAAAAAGCTGATAAAATCAACTATATGGAATTCAACAAAATATTGCTCTGGGAATGTCATACTAGTACCTTTGAATCATTTTGAAAGTTTCCAGTATTTATTTCATGAAAAAAAAATGACGAAATAATTTGAATTACATTTTATTTTATTTCTTGAATTTACATAACATAGATTAAAAAATAATTAACATGACAAAAGTAAATAGTTCTACTTTTTATACCAGTAACATTGTCAAATAATGAATTTTACTATAAAAGCTAGAACAATCAAAGGTTCCACTTTTTAATTTGTACAAAAAGAATAGAATGCATAAATAAATAGAATCACAATGTTGAGTGCACACATTAGTATGTTAATTTAGGCAATAAAGCTTAATAATGATGATGAAAAAGTAAACAAATGCTCCAGTGTATGTCGTATGACATATACATATCCCAAGTGTGTCTTGTTTTTCATGGAAATAATCACATGCAAACAATATATTTATATATGGCCAGTTTCCCGTATTTATACTAAATGCGTAGAAACGCAACCGGCCGAAAGCTTGTACATCCAATACCCATTTGCATAAATCCGATTGGGAGCAAATCCTCGCGTATTAATGCTCATGAAAGTAAAACGTTGCAAATAGAGGACATGAATAATAAATGCCACAAGCCTACATGTCTCGCTGAGTAACTGAGGGATTATATTCAGTGAATTTCTGCAGTATGGAGAACTAGAAGGTTCTAGTAACCTACGTTCATAATAGAGAATAGATTGTTGTAAGAGAAGAAATGAGAGATCTATTGCTTGGTAGCAGACACAAGTGTCCTCTGAGTGTTCTAGCAACACTCAAGCAACAACCAAGGATCCAGTGGGATTTAACATCATAACCGCAATATTACTTCGTATGCATTGTTGTCTACCAACATCATCATGCTGTTGTTTCTCTGCTGTTTTGTTGTTACATAGCTCCATAGTGTTTTTCTTCATCTCAACGCTTGTAACTGGTGTGCTACTGGCAGACTGTGTGCGCCCCAGTGACTTTTTGCTAGAATCGACGACAAAAGAGCTCCAGATAGATACCAGGTGGAGAAGAGAATGAAGGGAAAAGAAAAAAACGAGAAAACAAAATGAGAACGTTATCACTGTTCTTTTCCACTGCCTACTAGTTTGCTCGACCGTGAGGATAACTCCTTGTCCTACTCTCTTTTCATAGTTGAGGGTATCCAGGCGAAAGAGCAAGTCGACTCAAGAAAATTCCTTCTGGCTCTATGGACAGAGAGATAGATAAAATAAAGACATGGCAAAGGGTTTCTTACGGTTGAACGATTCATTCAGGATTCCTTTTTTGACTTTCCGAAAGACTTCTTACGAAAGACACTGCTTGTGGTGAAAGAAATATTACGCTTCGCTGATCAGCACGCGTGTACACTACTCTTCCTCACCCGCATACACATCTGTACCTATGTGGAGATATATGAGACCGACAATCACTCACTATGCTTCCGTTTATTCTGTTTTCGATTCGCTTTCTAACGTCGTCAATCTATCGTCCAGTTTTTACTCCATTATTCCATGTTATATTATAATTGCGAGAAATTGGAGAAATTTTTTAATGGATTTGAACAGTGAGTAGTAATTGGATTTTTTTTTTTCCTTTTTTTTGGGACATGTGAAATGATGAAAATGAGTTATAATTACTGGATATTTCCGAAAGTTGATAATAATATCAGACTTGATGAAAATTTAAAATTACATTACAGAAGTTTCATCAATGGATTATACCTGAATTATTGTATAATCCGTGTAATATTTATAATGGTTCTGGAGAGGCTTCTTTCAAAAGGTTCTTTATAAAATTTAATTACACTAAAACTCTTAAGAATTATTATGAATTATATTTATTACTATATTTATTTTAATATAAATTCATAAATTTTTTTGGTCTCTCTTTAAAATTTTTATCCTAATTAAATATCATCATTAAAATATATTTATAATTGAAATTAAATTGCTTCAATTTGAGTTTTAAATTACAAAAGGATTTTACTACCCAGGTTTTTTTTTTTAAAGTACATAAATTTACATTTGAAAAAAAGCATTCATTGGTGCAGTTTAACGGCCATGCATCACATATATTATAATGTGCTTTAATCAAGATCTAGATTAACTTGAAATAAATTTCATCAATAGGATTCCTGAACAATACATTTTATGCAATGTCGGTTTGTATATAAGCTTCCCCGAAAATCGAATGTCGATGTTGGATACCATTCGTGTTCTCACGTCCTTACAAATACATCTACATAAATACATTCTCTCAACTCGTTTCTACGTACACCGTACACGACTAACAACAAATTCATGCGTGCTGGAACGTGAATGTAACAAATATTCAAGCCGAAACTTGCTTGTATACTTATATATCTTATAAAAGTATGCATACAACTATTAAAAAACATTCCACTACAATATGATGTACGTGGATACCTTCAGATGATCATATATTTTTGTCAATTCATAAAATGAACAGTCATGGAATTGAATAAAAAAGAAATATTTTATCAATTTTATTATATGATTTTTTGTTTTTTAAATTTTAAAATGAATAATAATTGGCTGTATATAATTTTACTATCAATTTATTTTATTTTAAAATAAATGCTCTTCAAAAAATAAACAATCATAATCCAATCAATAAACGATTTTGGAGCAACATGATGATCATAATTGATGAGATAGAAAGAAAGTCTAATAAGATCATAGGAAATATCAGTCCATTAGAAGACAAAATTCTAAAAACAGTCGTTTCTATGCAGACATACATTCTACTTAAGATGATATTTTTCGATCTACTTCACGATGGTTATTACTTCCAGTAAGATTCTCAATATGACCATCAGAGAAAAAGCCAAATGCATTTTCTTCTTTCGCAACAAATACTTGGCAAAGCAATGAGTTGCTGGTTCGTCGATCCAACTTATAACGTCAACTTTTACGAGGGAGTTGCGTTCCAAAGCATGTAGGTAGAGTACATAAGAAAGCACAACCAACATCATCAGCAAAAGTAAACCATAATATAAAAATGCTGAAAGAAAGAAAAAACATGAGGAAAGAATGACGATGAAAATGGTTGAAAAGTAAATAAAAACGAAGTAACGAAAGATCACTTACAACAACTTTGGCTGGCGCTTACGAATGCATCGCGTTTTCTGCAAGTCTTAAGTTCTCTCTTTCTGTCTCTATAACTGTATACCCTCGATTGTAGCGTCGCGTGCACCGCGTGCATACCGTGCCATTATAGTGTATATGTACGTTATCAGCGTGCGACTTGAACCAAGTCACGAGTCGCGCTCGATTCCTACGCTGTTTTCTCTGCTCCTATAGCTGTTTTATATTTCAAGTTGTACCAAAGTGTATCTAAAGAACATGGAAAAAGTGAGGTGATAGGTTGATTTGGAATGATAATTTATTAGAGAATGGCATCAATAAAAATCAAATGTTGGTGTTGAGTCTCCAATGGAATATAAGCTAGAAGAGTTGGTTATATATACTATAAAAGAGCATATTGAGTTCCATAATATTTCTGCTATAGAAATACTTGACCTGTATGCAAATCTTTATGTATATATGTACATCAAATAAACATATCCCCTGGACATTTTAGTGATGTGCCAGTGGGCAATGTTGGAGATCAGCTTCAGGAATCCGTTCACCCTTTTTCAATCTTTTCTTTACTCTTCATCTTCTTCTTTCAGGAGCTTTCGTATTACAGTGTTCAATGCACCTTTTCACATCTATAAACAATTTTCTATCTCTTTCTTTTATCTAGTACTTTTCAGTGGCGTCAAACACCATTGGCTCGAATGAAATCCGTTTATAGCTTAAATTCCAAACGCAAAAAGGACCTTATCTCTTTTCCTAGTAGGTATTGAAAAACGACTTTTCTTTCTAAACTAACTAGTGAATTTATGCATCTATAAATAGCCAGTTGAAAGATTGAATCGAAAATTCTCTTAATATATTTTCGCCGTGGCATCAAGATATTTTCAATGTCTTGTTGATGGATGCCTTAACCAGATCTACCTGGTGGATATGAAGAAGTGAAAAAGACCTGCAGAGGTCGTTATCCTTTGTTTGGAGGATTCACTTGCCATCAAATTACTGGGGCACGGAAACATCGTAGATTCCGACGCGGAACGACGACTCTCGACGCCAATTAGGGATACTAATTAACGGCGTTGGACGTTCGGCAGAGCTCGAGAATTTACGCGTCGGTGGACGTGTGGTTTTCCGCTCTCAACTAGACATCTAATTATACATCTATATACCAGCATAAATGCATTCATATACGTGCACTATGGCTTGCCTTTCTCTTGTTCTTCTTACAACTGACCAGAAAGAGAGAGAGAAGGATTACATGAGCGAAAGCCCCGTGTGTGTCACTATCCCTCTTCTCACACTACATTTAGTGTGTGATTCGGACGAGTTCCCGCGTGTAGCTCAACAACAGAGCATTCGAGAGAGAAAAGGCGGGACGACAACAACGTTCAACTGTAATTATCTAATACCTAGGAGTGCCAGGATGGAATGCCGTGCTGGCTTATGTCCTTGCGTGGGAACATCGAAGAGTACAGATCATGATATCGTGCACGGTTTACTTCTCTACTCCACCCACTCCCAGCTGATATTTGTCAAGTGCACACAAC